TTGCTATTTACCCATGAATGTTCTAAGCTACAGATACGAGAATCGTGCAAATTTTGAGCAATGTTTGTCCTTGTTTCCTTAAACCAGGCATCGTGGAAGGCTTTGAGATGGCAAGCAGTAACATTCTGTTCCATTTGCTGTAAGAGGTCTAGGGTTCTCTGGGGAAGACGTCCAGAACCACAGCCCAAAATTTAAGAGCAGTGCCATGTTTGATATTTTTACGACCATAACTGTATGAAACTGATTGTTCCAAGAAAAGATTTTTGATCTCTCTCTCTCTCTCTCTCATATTAGAAGAAACTAGATGATAGAGATAATTTTAGCTTCAGAAGCAAATACCATCATTTTAACCAAAATTTACTGAAATATTTGTGAATATTTTTTATTTTTTTTTTACTTTTGTTTATTATTGATGTTATTAGTTTTGAGAAACATCTGAAACATTAGAGAAAATTAAGTATTTATATTTTGTTTTATTGATTTTCTTACGAGGAGGAGAAAGGGTAAATTACACTGATATTTAATCACACAATTTCTTTATATTTGAAATATTACACTTAGAACCCTAAGTAACGGTAAGCTAACAAAACTAACATAAATTATAAAATGACTATTATACCCTTTAATAAATAAAACACAAGCAATCCCAACCCACCAAACCCGAATCCAAACCCCAACCCAACACTAAACTCTAACCCAAACCTGAATACAAAAACCCTGCTCTCTAACACCCCAAACCAACTCTCTCTCTCTCTCTCCCTCTCCCTCTCCCTCTCCCTCTCCATCCACAATGCGCTTTTCCTTCTGCCTATTTCTTCTTTCACATCTCCATCGTACTACTACCCATCCTCTATCAATCCCTCTTTCTCTCTCGTCCTCCAGCTCCACCAATACCACTACTTCCACAGCCATCTCCCAACCAATTTCTGAAAATTGGAGAAGGTATGAAGGGTCTAGGTCTAAAAATTAGTTTGTTGGCCTAGGATTCAGGTCGATGGATATGGAGAGTTGGCCATATCTCAGACGGTTTTTCGTCACCAATTTAAACCTCACATTGGTCCAAGATTAAATTAATGAAATTAAAATTTCAGAAACTAAAATTCAATTAGTAGTAAACCTATAGGGGTGTTTAAATTTTTGATTGATCGCAATTTTTTACCCTATTCGACCCTACCTTATTTTACTGAATGGCTAGAAGCAAAAATGAGGTAGAAATGCGGAAGAGTTTTTGGTCTTCTGATTAAATCGGGTAGAAATGCAAAATATCCATCAATTTTAGCATTCCTACCCTACCCTACCCGTAAAAAATATTTAATTTTTTTATATTTTTTTAGTAATTATAAGAGTATTTGTGTAGTATAATTTATATTATAGCATTCTTATTGCTGTAGATGTTTAAGTTACTAAAACATAGACTTGTTTTTTGTGTAGATTACATGATTTGTGGTGAATTGGTGATTTATTGGAGCAGTTATGATTTAATGTATTTCATATGATTTAAATTTAAAATAATTGTTATTGTATTTGTGTAATAATTATAATGGATTGATGTTTATGTTTTTTTGTGTTTTATTATAATTATTGTTGTAGTTGTTTTAGATTTTAGTGTTGTTAAATTGGTGTATATTATTTAATTAAATTATTAAAATAATCTAAAAATTAATAACTATAAAAGTGTTTATCTTACTTCCTACCCGATTAATCGGATAGTAATATCACACCTAATCGAATAAAGTAGATCAATAAAAAATTATTTCGCAAAATATCAAGTGGGAAAACGAAAGACTGTACTTTCTACCCATAAGATAGAATGAACAACCCTATAAACCTCAACGACTATTGTTGAAATTTACCCTAAAAAAATGTTTCGGGAAATAGGGGAGAAGGGGCAGATTGGAAATTATGTTTTGAATATGACGATGACATCATGTAATTTTAACGATCACATTAGACTCCTGGCAACATGGGACTACGTGTTCCGTGAGCACAAATTTTAGTGGTTTCCATGAAATATTTCAAACGTGAGGGTTTGATAACATTAACACTTTTGCCGTGTATCGGACCAGACCATTTTCAGCTCCCAAGCACTGAAACACCCAGCAGATGCAGCAAAACCCTATCCTAAACCCTAAGAAACAAAGCTGTAAACCCTAAATTCATGGAACTTCCAACGGTCAATTTTAAAGCTTCAATCTATGTCAGTCTCTTCTGCACAATCATCATCATCAAAGGTACTCCCTTTACTACTCAAACCCATCACACCCTTTCGCTTATTCACGTTTTCTTACTCTGGATTACCCAAAACCCCTGTAGACAGAATCACAGTAGCATTTCAACAGGAAAACCTCAAACTCATAGACCCTTTATCTCTCTCTAAACTACAACCACTCCACGTCGACTCTATTCTTTTTAATCTTCGGCACAAGCCCAGTTCAGCAATTAGGTTCTTTGAGTGGTCTGAGAATATTCTGGGGTTTAATCACACAATTGAATCTTTTTGTGGTCTTGAACATTTGTTGCTCAGTAATAGAATGTTCGATCCGGCCAGACTGGTTTTTGGTAAAATGGTGGGGAAGTTTGGGGACTATGATTGTTTTGGTGTGTTTGATAAGGGTTCAGAGTTTATGGGTCGAATAAGAGTACTGTGTATAGCTTCTTGATTGAGAATTATTGTCGAGTTGGGATGATTGATCGGTCCGTTGAGTTGTTTTTTCGATTGTCTAAAATGGGTATTTTAATTTCACCTTATGCATTATCGAAAATGCTTTGTTCTTTGATTGATTCGAAGCAAATTGATGTTGTTTTGGATGTGTGTGGAGAAACGAGTAATGGGTTGAGAGAAGAACAGTGTCGGCATTTTGATGTGTACAGTTTCGTGATGCATGGTCTTTTCAAGAAGGGTGAGGCTGAAAGGGGGTTAAAGTTTCATCGAGCAATGATTGAGAGAGGGTTTGTGCCTAATATTATTGCTTGTAATAAGATTATGAAAAACCTTTGCAATGGTGATTGTACAGGAGTTGCTTTTGGTTTCTTTTCGTTGATATTAGAGGTAGGTCCAAATCCGAGTCTGGTGACGTTTAGCACATTGATTAATGCTTATTGCAATGAGGGAAGATTGGAAGAGGCATTTGAGCTCTATAATATTATGATAGCAAGGGGTATAACTCCTGATTTAGTGCTTTATAGTATTCTTATTGATGGTCTTTTCAGGGCGGGGAAGTCGATGGAGGGGCGTCAACTACTCTCCGTGGCGATAAATAGTGGCATCAAGTTGGATGTGGTGGTTTTCAGCTCCATTTTGGATGCATGTGTGAAAATGGGGGATTGGGAAAGAGGGCTTGAAGTGTATAACAGAATGTTGAAGCAAGGGATCATACCTAACATGGTTACATATGGTATTCTGGTGAATGGATTGTGTCAAAAGGGCCAGCTTCCTGAAGCTTTTGGCATCGTTGGTCAGATGCTGAAACAGGGTGTTGAGCCCTCTGTTTTAACATACAGCAGCCTGATTGATGGCTTGTGCAAGGCAGGAAATTTGAGAGGCGGGTATGGTTTATACAAGGATATGGTAAAGAAGGGCTATATTCCTGATGTTATAAGTCACAGTGTGCTTATAAATGGTCTTACTACGCATGGACAGATGGGTGATGCTCTTAGATTATTCTACCAGGCACTGAAGAGTGGTTTAATTCCCAGTGTATTTATGTTTAACACATTAATTGATGGTTGGTGTAGATTGAAACGAATAAAGGATGCTGTGAAATTTTACATCCAAATGGTTATGTATGGTATGGTACCGGATGTAGTTACGTACACTACGCTTATTAGAGGTATCAGTGACAAGGGGAAACCATTCGAGGCATTAGTTTTTTTTCTTTCAAATGCTTAAAAGGGGTTTCTCTCCAGATATATTAACATATTGCACTATCATTGATGGACTCTGTAAACATAAAAATCTGATGGCTGGATTACGAATTTTTGACATGATGCTCCAAAATGGAATAGATCCTGATATTGTTATATACAATGTTCTCATTAATGCTCTATTCAAGGAAGGTCGCTTGGAAAATGCTTTGGAACTTTTCAGGAAAGTTTTTGAGTGTGGACCAGAACCTGATATTGTGACCTACAACACAGTAATCTGTGGATATTGCTCTTTCAAAATGTTGCATGAGGCAGCTCAACTTTATGAGGAGCTGAAATTCAGACGGATTGAACCCAACGCCATTACTTTTTCTGTTCTGATCAATGCATTATGTAAAGAAGGAAAAATGGAGGATGCGAAGTCGTTATTTTCGGCAATGCTGGAAAAAGGTCCAGAACCTAATGTGGTTACGTATAGTTGTTTAATTGATGGCTACTTTAAGGCCTGTAATATGAGAAATGCCTTTGAGCTTCATGAAAAGATGCTTGAGAATAGTATCTCTCCCAATATTGTGACTTACAGCATCCTGATTGATGGTCTATGCAAAAGGGGACTGATGGAAGAAGCATCTTTTACCTTTCATCATGCTTTAGAGAGGCATTTGTTACCTGATGTCATAACGTATGGGATCCTCATTCACGCATTCTGCAAGGTTGGGAGATTAGCAGATGCCATGATGTTTTATGACCGCATGTTGGGAGAAGGCATCATGCCAGATGCATTTGTGCAGAGAATACTTGCTGTATATCGTCTTCAGAATAACCAGACAGAAAAACTGTGTACTCAACTGAAGCATGTGCAGAGGACATCTTCCCATTCATAGTTGAGAAATGGCTGGTTTGGAGGAAGTTAGTCTCATGGTGAATGATTTTTCACTGTGTGTTCTTCCTGGAGAGTAACTATATCCATACAGACTATTGTTTAGGAAGCTGATTTATATGTGTAATTACTCAACAATTCATGCATATGAATACTGTATTCACATTTTTCATGTAAAAGACAGAAGATACTTGTACTGTAGCAATGTGTTATATCAAATTGTGGGCACGTATGGTGAATTGCAAATGAGTCTGTATGCTATGTATTGTTTCTTGCAAAAAGTGAGACCATAGTTGTCATGTTGCAGAGTTGTGCAGTTTGGATATTTACATACTTTTGTTGTTTTTCACACTGATTTTAAGTAAGGGGAAGGGAGGATTATGTGCCTCCTCTTCGATCATAATATTGCTCAAATGGCTCTTCTTCCTCAGTTAGCTTTGTTGGAGTGATGATCAGCTGTCTTTTTATATTGAAGAGATGTGATTGTCACACACGCACGCGCACACAAAAACATATATGGCTGTGTTGATTCTGAATGCCGATGGCTTTCATGACATATGCAAGCAACATTACACATGATCTGCTACAGTAGATATTGGTTATGAGCGTGGATATGAATTAGGTTGGTACCCTTGAGTCGCAATTGTGAACTTAGGGTGGCTATTAGTAATCGGGCTTATACGCATGTCTTTGAGGAGTTGTCCTTGGATGGGAAGCCAGTGTAATGAAGTTAGGCAAGCCAATGAATTGACAATGAGGCCCAAGTGTAAAGATGAATTTGTCAACTGATTATTTTACTATTGAATATCTCTTTCTTTCCTTTTGTTGTCTTGCTCTTGTATCATGGTAACTTTCTTTTGTAATTCCACTGTTCAGACTGAAAAACTTCCACTTCTATTGTGTTTAGTATTGCTTAATGTATTTGATTCAGTTCTTGAGTCTGATAGTGATTGTATTTTCTAAGTGTCTATTACATCTCTGTTTTTTTCTTCATGTTGATAATTTTTTTTAAAAAATAACTGAGAATGGCGTAAATTTTGTGAAACTTGTACAAATGATGTGCATCGAATCAATAAGGGTGTTTTTTGATTCGGACTTTCACCGTTAAAGGGTTAATTGAGAATGTTTTTGCTCTTTCTCCATAAGCTAGAAGGCCACAACGTCAAATAACAATAAATGATGGTATTTTTTGGGCTTTGGAAGAAATAATTGAGAATTAGAGATGTCATTGTTAACGCACTGTGGAGAACGTCAGGTATGACCCAGTTTCAAATTAAAACCTTGCCGGCTCTCCAAACATAGAGAATGGGGATTCAAAGTAAACACAACACATGAATCCATTATTGCCGGTTGATTTTCAATATTCCACAGTATTTGACTCTGATTAACTATAATAGCTGTAACATTTTTCAAAGGGTTAATATATATATATGTGTGTGTGTGTGTGTGTATGTATATCCTGTGTTTTACTGATTACATATATATGTAGTACATTAGACTAAGCATATGGTAATTAACCCATCAGTGAAGATTTCAGGATTACTATCTCAACTCCCAAGTTCTACTCTCTGAAAAGAGTTCTAGCTTGCCTGTTAAGTATAATTGCCCGCTAAATCACTTAGAGCGGGAGCAGGGACGAGAGAGGGAGCAAGAGTGCAAAAGCAATTTTTTATAAATCTAATTTCATTTCAAAACAGTTACAAAACTGCACTTAAATCTTCAAATTAATCAAATTCACGAATTAGTAAACTTGAATTCACAAATTTAGTAAAGTGCAAATGTGAATTCACTCCCAAAGTAAGCATTTGTGAGCGGAGCGACAGAGAGTAACTTGTTATGCAGGGAATTATGACGTGAGGTGGAAGATATGGGTCAAAAGAACGTATATTTAAAACGATTCTCTTAAAACAAAAGCTCTGCTAGTGATTTAGCTGGACTTGAATACGTATCAACATCTTAAATCACATAATTGACAATCAATAAAACATGTTTGGAACTATTTCTTCGCTTCACACGAATTGTTGACCAGTCAAGGGGACAAGATCTTAGAATATTCAATTTTTTTTTAAGTTTATTACACAAGATTAGGTGACTGATTGGGATCGTCGTGTTCCTTGTGTCCTAAGTAAAGTTCAAGAAACGAGTGACAAATCGGTCAGTTTATATATTCATCAAGTAGCTATACTTATTTTTCCTCACTGTGTTGCTTTAATTGTGTCTGGATTCGATTACTTTAATGATGCCGGACTTGTTATTTTTACAGATAAGGATTTTTGATCCTCCAGTGTGGTTTCTGCCAATCTCTTTGGCTGCTGAGGCATGCCATTACATCACACCTGCTCATTAGATGGTTTCAGGGAAATATGTATTTGATGATTATCCAAAATAGGGTAAGTTTGCTCATTACTTATTTCATCTAAAAACAGTTATATATGAGAGCGTTGTCAATTAGGTACAACTGTTTTGAGATTGGACCTAAAGTGATGAAAAGTTCTCATTCGTCATGTCACACCTTCAAATTTTAGAATCAACCTCTTCAAACTAATAAACAATACCGTCTATTACTAACTTTTTTTTCTTATATATAAAGTCTTAAATCATTTTATGTGTTGGATACGATATATCCAAAAAAGGGACTAGTAAGAAATGGGACATGAAGGGATAACAAATGTTGTCCATATCGAAAAATGTAAGTAAATGGGAGTGACTTTACACATAATTTGTGGTCAAATTACGACTCAAAAAATGTAATCACACTTTTTTTTTTTTGGGGGGGGGGGGGGGGGGGGGGCTCAATCACATAATATTGACCCTGCAATACATTTGAGTTGGTCAGCCATGATTAAGTACAAGAAGTTTACCTGTATTCACCCCCACCCCAACACCCACACTCCACCTTCCCAAAATGATGAAAGTGCCTCCTCAACAACTACACATTTTAAATCATAAAAGTTGAATGGTAATTTCAAAAGTCATTTTCATGGCCTCCATCATCCCCTCTCATCTCCTCCAGGTGAACCCAACTGCTTCATGTCTTATTCAAAGCATTCCAAATCTTGTACTTCATTATCTAGACCCCATGATCTATGCATACATCATGATATATATGTACGTATCTATGCGTACGCATATATAAATTTTGTTGATTTTCTTTCGTTTGGTTAGACTGTTATGTATACAAGGCAAAATGCTTATTAATTTCATGGTATTTCGACAGTTTAGAATTCAAATTACCACCATGTAAACTTTTCCTACAAGAAAAAGGACAAAATGAATAGCAAGTGGCATCTTTGAAAACACAATATTCTTTGATTCCATGGGGTTTTATATGTTTAGTCAATGTGTCTACCACAACATATGCAAATTATTCTCACCAAAAAGTGGTATCTTGTCGTATATTCAGGAAATATTATATCAGGGTATGATTAGGTTTGAAGGTTGAATGATTAAACTTATTGCCTTGCTGGTCCTATTAGTGTTTAGGTCTTTTTCTCCATGTATAATCATTTCTAAGAGCTAACAGAGAAGCATATATTCTGGGCGCTCATAAAGGTTTTCAATCTATGATATTTTTTGTGTTCCAAGCTCTTCATTTGGATAGCCAGCAGAGTAATATATTCCGTTGGTTGAATGAGAAAATTTGTCTTTTGTTCATCATGCAGAAAGGGCAATTGTGTTCATGTTATAAACTGCGATTGCTCAATTATGGATCAGTTGAGGTCCTCTTTTGCTGTTATCAGAGTCTGACTTACAAGGCTTTTGAGTTCCAAGATCTCTATTAAATTGGTTGGGGCTTTTAGTGAAACTTGGGTTTGTATTGATGGTCCGTTGATAACCTTTCTATTCTCTTCAATAGATAATTTTATTGCTGGGCTCGTGTGTCTTAGTTTGGTCAATTTCTTGGTCTTCCTTTGTTTTGATCAAAAAGTGGACTGTGTGCAATTATGGTCACGATGGAGAAGAGGAAAGCACTGTGAATGATTGTTTTACAAGATTGCGAACTATAGGGAACAGAATTTGAATTTAAAAGGGGAAGAAGGAAAGAAATCTATGAAAGATGGAGGGAAGAGGCTACTCAGACTTATATAGAAACACGAGTGAAGAATTATTCATTAAGACCATGATGGAAAGCTCGATTGGAATGCCAGTGCCAACCATGGAGATGTTGGGTTTCAAGAATCTGTCAAACAACCACCGCACAGATAGTGAGGAACTCTTCAAAAACTGGCTCACGAATGGAGAGGCAAGAAGTTCTAGTATTCTCTTATGTTGACTTTGCATTTTAATCCATGATTTAATGCCAGAATTTTAGGATTTTGAAAGTTTGCACTGCACAAGTTAGAAAATTTGTCATCAGAGATGGTATAGAGTCTAACAACAGTATTCTGCTTGTGTGTTTAACAACATACATAAACTCCTTTCTTGTCTGCTTTTAGTTTCTTTGGTTGTTAATTGAGCATGACGGAAATTGTCACACAGAATGTAAATGATGGGATGAATGCTTCTTGTGATGGGTTTTTGAGAGTGAATATGTTTTTTTATTCTGCCGTGTATATATGACAATGACCTTTATGTATGTTCTGTTCTAAACTTCATGTATGTTTTGACCATAACAATGCTTCCTGAAGTTCATTAGCTTGTGCATTTTGGGAAGGACTTTTTGGAGACTATTATGCTTAAAAAATTTCTCTACATTTCATTTAGACAATGGCATAAATTGCCAACAGAGCTAACAAGATGCTGGCATGGCAAGCATTCATGGCTTTCGCTCATACAAAAGTGGTCACCCTATTTTGGTTTCTCCTCAGCTCTTTCCTATCTAGGACAATAGGGCTTGAATATCCATTAAGGTTGTAAAGATGGATACCATTGTATCACCTTTACAACCGAATGAATTCAGTTATGGGTAATCACCAAACTGGTGTTTTGACCACAGTTGGAACAAGATATGAATGTAGTTGAAGAAACTGTTTTCAATGGGGCTAAATCATCTATCTTGGCATTTATTGAGTTGTTTATGAACTTGCTTATTTTTTCTTCAATACAATGTGTTTTTTCTTGTATACATCATATTGTTTTTTCATGTTGAGTTATTCTGTCAGTTTTAATCTTTTCCCCTTTATTGTCGTTTTCTCGTTTGATAAACTTTTGCTTTCCAGAATAATGGGCACAATTCAGCAAGTCTAGCTCATCGAACTCAATCACGAAGGTTAGTTGGTTGGAACTGCAGATGTTCATACATACTTCTTGACATAACAGGTCATATTATTTTCACCGAAGTCGCTTAAGGACATCCGCAGGACTTGTATGTGGGAGTATTTTTCCTATAAAATATAACGTAATGCAGAGCCAGTTGTTGACATAATAACAATAATGATAATAATACAGAATGACAGCTCTTAGTTATGTTGAAGCTCTTTGTGTTTATTAAAGAAACATAAAGAAAAACATCACTTTCTCCATTGAAGCTCTGTATGTTTCGATAAGAATTCTCAGAAAAGATATGATGCATAGCTTGTAATTGTAATTTTTTAAGTTAGGCATGTTTTTGTTTCACCGGTGCCTCCTCATCCACTTGTTCGAAGGTTTTTACTCCAGAAAATTTTCGTCCTTATACCCTTTACTTCTTTAGATACTTAATTTCCATGTCAAATGCAGGATGTCCACTGAACTAGTTAGTGTGCTTAATCAGCAACAAGGGGGTTTTCTTCAGAGAAAGAGAAGCAATGAAGCTTTATTCTTGCAAAACACTTCTGCGGCTGATGAACCATCAAGAGACCTTGATCAACTTTCACTCGGGTAACTTCCAAGTCCCTAAGCAATCACACGTCAACTCACAAAAAGCCTTCACCTCCACTATATGGTTGGATGGTAACGTTTTGTTCCAGAAATACTAGCTTAACCTATATTGGTTGTCCAGTTGACCTTGAAACACTTTCAACCTGAACCTGTCACAGTTACTAATATTTGCTAAACTTGGTCAAACAATTTTACTGGTGTTTTCTTATATATTTTCTAGTTGTTGCCACCTCTAATGTTTCTTAAATGTATTTATTTCAGATAAGGTCCTTTTTAAAGTGTCAATATTTTATTTCTACAGTGGCTGATAATTGCATTTGAATTTTATTTCTATCAGGAATCCAGTGGAAGAGGGGTCGCAGGGTAGTAATTTATACCTAGCTAAGGTTTGTATATAGAGAGAGTCTGTTGAGACCATTGCAAAGCATCTTTTTGATAAGTTTAATTAAGATTATTTCATATCTCACCTTGCTGCAGGCATGGTTCAATAGTTCTCAAGCCATGACTCGAAGTCGTTCCTCTGAATTAAGGTATCAATGTCTTCACAACACATATAACCATTTATTTATGGGAATTCCAGTTGTTTTCAACACTTTCAGTACACATTATTACAGATTGAACCTCGTAATATAACATTGAGAGCGTAAAGGGTGGATCTTCTATATTTCTCTTTCTTTTACCCTCCTGTTTTTCTGTTCTTGTCTTTTCTTTATCTTTAACGGTGAATGCAATCACATCTAAATGCAATCCCTTCCCCTTCCCCCCTCCCAAAAAATAAAATAAAAAAATGTAATCACATCTAAATGACAAAGTCAGAATGTGACTATGAATAATGTTCATTTTCTTCTAATAACTGAGAGTGAATTCATTTACTTGAACAAATAAATTCCTTCCATTTCTTCGGATTCATTATATATACACGTTTTGCAGGAGGCGATACGCTGCAATGCAGATCTCTCGAGCATCACTGGGTATGGAAGCAGAGCAAAACACTTCTGGGCTTGGAATCAACAATTTAAGACAAGACTTTGAAAATCCACATGGATTGGATGACACTTCAATGCACGAGATACCCAACCAGTTCAATACCTTTATGCCTCCAACCAATTCATCTTCATCAAATTTCAACATCCCACAAATGGGAACTGTAGACAAGGTTTCTTCAGTTGTCAACATGCTTAAGGGTACACTAGAACGCAAGAAACTTAGTAACCACATTGAGAAAGAAGTTGTTGAAAATAGTTCTTTGGGATATTATGGGGCTCAGGAAGTCCTAGGTATCAATAGTTTGAATCGAGAACAAGCTAATTATATTCATGAGGTGCAAGGAACGATTCAAGATGTAGCCACTGTCCAACTCGAAGATTCTGGAGTCCAGCAAACAGTTGGAGGCTCATTTGATTTTCATTTAGAAGGTTATGTGGTTCCTACAAATCCAATCTACATGAGCAAAGTATCTCAAGAACCATCACAAAGTGAATCTTCTGTGGCTGCACCAGTAGCCTCAACTGGTTTTGATGCATGCGATGGTCCCAGCTACTCACCTCAAACTCTAAGCAACTGCGAGACCTCTTGGAATCAACTTGGAAGTGGAAGAAATTCAGAAAATGGACCTCGAGCCAAAGGTATGTGTAACAAGCATAAGTTGTTTTCAGCAATAAATTCATGGCATAGGTTAAGTTTCTACTTATCTTTACATCGTGGATCTCACAATTTTTATTTGATGACTACCTTGTTTTCATTCTCATCAGTATGTCTGACCGGAAGTTCTGACTCAAATTTTCCCTTCCAGCACAAAGTAGTTTCCTACTATTGCCATGTTTTGTACTTTGAAAGCTGTGGATTATTATTGCAGTTGGTCAAAATTATAACTTTCTCAATTTACGCTTTTCACTAGACTGTGTTCTATTGCTCTCTGTACCACAATATTATTCAAATATCTGTCTTTTATTAGATAATTACATTTACTAGCACTAGCAGCTGATAGGGATTATTTATATTATACCATTTGTTTTCTCATTTCTCAAATGCTGCATTTCACTGTTTCTAGTGAAGAAAACGATAATAGATCATGTTTCAATAACCCATGAAAATTGAATCAGTCTATTTTCTTTTCCATTGCATTGGAACCTATCCTCTAGGATGTCAGGCATCACAATAAAGGGGGGGGGGGGGTATAGCAGGACATGGTATTTCAAGGATTTCTAACATGACCTACAATGGGCTGCTCCAAAATTGTGGGATTCTAAGTGTTCCATTACTTGTGTTTTTCCAGAAGGAAATGTTACGTTTATGTTTTATCTTCTTCTGACTTACAGATGCCAGAGAACAAATATACAATAACCTAAAAGAAGATCAAAAGGCATGTCTCAATTAATCACAGCTCTTTGATAGTGACACTGTTGTCCAAAATATATATTTGGATGCCTGAAGCACTTTTCCTGATTCCATTTTTCTGCTTGTTTGTTTATGCATCTTCAGCAGAAAGGAAGTTTAGTTCACCATGGATCTGTAACCTCAGTGGTTTCAGGTAATAAAAGATGTTTAAAAACTCACAACTGTACATTTGTTTTTCCAATCTGTACCTCATTTGTTTCCGTCAATGAATAAGGGTACACAGAGACTTATTCTTTATTAATCAACTCAACTCAACAAAGCCTTCTCCCAACAATTTTGGAGTCGGCTACAAGAACCTTGTTTTGTCTTCATTCTCTATTAAGGGCCTGGCTTCTGTTAAACCACAAGTTATCATATCTTTCTTTACTGTTTCTTTCTCCAAACATGTACATGGAACTTCTTCTTTAATATGAAAATTATTTTGCTCTTCAATCTGATTAAAACTTTTTCTTTTTTCTTTGTTCTTTCTTGCAACTATAGTAAAACCAAGCATGATATGCTCCTCTTCACATACACAATATTGAATTTTAGTAAAGGAAACATGGAGTCACTACATCTTATTCCACCTTCACTACAGAGGACTGAAACTACATTTCTTAGGCATCAGAAAGCTACCCTATACTTGCAACATTTATATTCATTTTTCCTCTTTCATCTCATTTTTATTATCTATCTGTATGTGTTTTAAGTATAATGCATTCTTCTGTATCTTTAGTTGCTTAATTTGTATTTTATATTGAGTTTTTATTTCATGTGCATACACTTCTCTAGATTTTTGTTTTCATGCACTTTTCACTAACCAACATGAGTTTTGCAGTGGAGAAAGGAGATCCCACCAAGAAGCGTAGGGTGGAGCGGTCACGGAAGTACGTAAAACTATCTCACAACATGAAGGGAAGTTTTTTGCTAAAAACTTCTATATTTTGAGACAGTATAATCTCTTGATGGATAGACATTCTGAGATGTCTAGTTTTTTCCAAAGTTATTCTGCAATAACTTGATTTCTTTTGGTTGTAATCTTAAGGTGAACATGCAAAGAGGCCTGAAGTTGAAAACTCTGCAGATTTATCATGTTTCCTCATCTTTTACTGAATACAAATAATGTTACTAAATATATGCATGCTGTACAAAGACAAAAACTATCTTGATATGCTAATCGATTTTATAGCAAACAGATTGCCTTACAATTATTTCTTTTTGCTGGCGCAGAATGGCGGAAGCTAAGGAAAAAAACCTGACTCCTACAGTTTCTTCAGATGTCCAATCCATTCTGAAGAGGTGCGAAAACCTTGAGAAGGAAGTGCGGTCGCTCAAACTTAACTTGGCTTTCATGAACAGGTAATGAAGAAAGGCATTAATTTACTTACTTCATGATGTAGTATAAGTTCTATGGTGACAGTTAATTTTATCGAGCTACGAGTTGCTTTGTGCTTACTTATTTTGCATCGATTGAGGAAGTTATATCTGTATGGAGATTATACCTGATACCAGCTCATAAATGTCCTGTTTCCACTCTGATTCTGTTTACTCTTCTCTGACTATCGCATAATTTGTTGCATGATATTTTTGTCCATTACTTGTAAAATGGTTTACAAAGTATTGTTGTTGATGAATTTCAGAAAGGATTCTGAACAGACTAAGCAGATAGAAGAGCTTCAGAAGCAGAACGAGGAGTTGACAGAAGAAAAAGAGCGTCTTCTGGAAGAAATCGTGAGGATTATCTCCGAAACAGGCAAGATGTGAGACTGTTCAGTCGTGTCACTGCTACACTCCCAACCACCTCATGTCCAAACAAGGGTCATCACAATACTTTGGCAACATCCTCAAAATGCCCAAAGGTCCAGTTCAGCTTCTGGAAGAAACGTTAACCCGGCATAATACAACTCTTGATCAATCATTGAAAGCAGGAATGCTGTTTGCCAAACGAGCATTTATGTATACCACAATCTCCTGTATCAAGTACAATGGTCAATCTGGGACAACCGAACCATGGGTGTTTCCAATTTTTGTAATCTTGGAGAGCTTCTGGTTATTTTTCTGTTAGATACTACTGTTGTTAATACTACGGATAGACATTGAAACCATTTGGACACTTAATATGACTTTAGTACTGTGAGGATCTTCTAGTAATTTTTACCTGCTGTTGATAACAGGTTATGCATTTGTTGGCAAAAGATGAATAGGCTGCACTATGAAGACATTGATTTGTATCTCAAAAAACAGTATTCGAAAATTATTTTTGGAAAGAATTTTAAAGAACTGTGTTTCGATGTCGCATAACTTGTTTGAACATATGATTCTAAAAACAATTATACAGAATAAAAAATAATAAAACTTATTTAGACAGTGACTCATAAAACAATAAAAATAGAAATGTGATTGTGAAAATGGTAGTGGTGGTAGTGTAAGTGTGGTAGTGGTATTTTCTACATTATGGAAAAGTTATTTCTTAAAAAACACCAAACAATCGTTACTTGTTCTCTAAATCTACCCTTTTTTGTTCTCAATTTTCAAAAAACAAAAACAAAAAACAATTGAGCAAACAGTTTTTCTCCCAAAACACTGTTTCTAAAAACAAGAAAACGTTTTCTGAGATCCAAACCAAACAAGGTCTATGTTTGACATGTTTTTGTCTGAAAAATGTATTCAGATTCAGAAGCAATTGAAGCCACCTTCACTGGTAGGTTTACATGATAATCCCTATAGTTCATGAATGGACAATACAAGGGTTTATGGAGCTTTATGATAAGGATAAGCCACAGCCAAAATTCAACAAATGCCAATATTGCAAGGAAAGCGGCCATGTAAATAGTGGGTGTGCACTCACTGGAGAATAGGTATTAAACATAATTGTTTGCAACCATAGTATAATAGGCCATGTTGGGTCGTGCCTGTAAAAATTAACACAACTCATACGACTCGTGTGCAAGATTAAAAGAAGTAGAACATAGTAACCAATAAGGGCCCACAAAAAAATTACAAGAAGAAAGATAATTAAGCTTGAAAAAAGCACCAACAGATCTTAGTAGATGTTTTATCATTTTGATGTACAAGAAATGAACTTTCCTTAAATACGTGTAAAATTTGTCAGTTAGCTCTTTCTGGTTCATTGTGGGAAGGACCCTCCCAAATCTATTGACAAGACAAGTTTATACAGCAGTAGGTACATAAATGACAATAAAGCCAAAACCTCTCAAGTACAACCTGCTTTCTAGAATCTAGAGGCCCATATCTTTGTAAATACTTTGGATTATTCATCAAATTGCTGCATTTCTATTTCCTCAAGTACATGTACATAACACTTTCTTAACTTAATTGACCACATCTGTACAAAAAGATACATGAGGCCACCTATTCAGAAACAGTTTCTATTATCAGAAGGATTTTATATTCTCTTCACTGAAATTCTGAAGTTGCAGAATCCAGGCCTTCGGGGAGCTAGCACCTTGGCAAAAATGAGTTCTACCCTCTATTTAGTTTATTGTAAATATCTCCCGGTGGCCAAGCCTCTTCCCATACTGAATGGCCAGCCAACCCACAAAAGAGAAATACACAACAACGAAACAAGTTCGCTTTAAGTGAGAGAGTATCCTCATGGCATTCATTAGATGCAAAGACTTGACATGCCTTAGAAGTGTCAAAACACTAATGGAGATCAAGGAAGTTGAAAAACCAGTGACAACTCCAAGTAATGCCTCCCACCTCCAATGCCTTGCTCTTGCTCCAGTAGTAAACCAGGACATTGATATCCTTGTGGACCTGCCATTATAAAAGCAACTGGTAACTAAATACCCAAGATGGGTAAGGAAGGCACACGGAACAACCAAAAACACGAGGACACACCCTCACTAAAACACAAGCTCCTCCATCATTGCATACCAGAACCTCAAGACTTGATATGACTTTCACTAGCCATATCTTGTTCTTTAAGACAGCTGAAATGGTTACTTTGTGTTTCCGTCACGTGTCCCAGATCAAAAAATTGTGATTGCTTATAAAAAGTCACCAAAAAACACTAATATTACACTAGCAGAACACAGTTATTTTATGTCTTATTCTGAAAGAACAATATCATAGGCAAGACGATATATGCTCATTCAATCAAATTAAAACAATTTGTTATATCTAATTGGATTGGTAATTGGCTGAAGAAGCTTGCATTGCTGGTTGAATACGTGCTCACTCTGAATAAGTTATGTTTTGACTTTGCATGTTTAAGAAATTGCAATTTCAATTGCTGGTCTGTCATGTCTGGGAGTATGGTTTCCAGCATTTCTGCTGCAGTCGATTCTCATCAATCAGGGTTTTTTTCTCTGGATTCCCCCTTAAGTTTTTAACCCAAATTCTTCCAATCAATAAAATCACTTCATTTACCAAAAAAAAAAATTAGTATAAATTTCATTCTAGTATTTGGAAAATGGATAACATCAGCAAGCAATAATCAATGAACATCGAAATTTCTGGCTCTCTGTTCTAAAAGGAGAAATTTTCGGATGACTATAAGGCAACACTATTGTGCTCAAAAAAAAGTTCATACGTAAACCAAACCCAGTAATTAACAGCTCTACAGTGTACAAATTAAGGAAAAACCAGGAATATACTTTAGAGCTATAATCTACTCACAAAATGGTATATCGTCGGAGCATCTCAAACAAAGATGGATCTTTTGCTTGGCAATTGAAAAAACTATCACGATATACGTCCACTTTAGAAAGACCCAATGTATACCAGCAATCATAAGTTTCATTCACCTAAGAAAATCAAGAAAGACTATAAGAATTCCATGAAGATTATCAAAAACACTGAAAGAATCAACTAGAATATAGTTTACAACTGAAGTGTCACTAGTCTAAATAACTTTTACAGATGGAATTTAAAATTCACCCACCTTAAAGTTATCTTTGATCAGCCATGCAATACCAAAACTAGGCCTACAATCAGAAGGAAGGGCCTCATTTGGAGCCTCTGCAAATGAAATATGCACCTGACCTGAATGATCTATATATTCAACCTGCAATTTAGGAAAAACAATGTCATTCAAAATAAACATGACTACTCCCCTAACAAATTAGAATACAAAAGGGAAACACAAATATTCCAGGCCCCAAATAATGTTTAATATCTTATGGAACCAATAATCAAAATAATAAAGGATATTCATTATAAGAAACTCTATTTTTTTCACTGATTGTATGGTTCCATAAACTTTGTGAACATTCTAAAGGTATGAATCATTGCATATTGACATGCATACAGCCACACATAAAACCAGTCTGAATCCTCTATAAGGCTCTGTGTATTGCAAAATTTATAACAGACTAATGCATCAGTGTCTTCAAACTAGATAGCAGTTCCTATCTCATATTCCAAAATAACCTTTTGTTTTTTCACAAGATCCCCCCCCCTTTTTTTTTAAAATTAAAAGAAAAAGGTCTTTTTAATTTATAGATTAACTATAGAACTCTTACCTAATACCAATAGGGATGTCTAACCCCATGATTCACCAATAAAGATGATTATATTTTCTCATCTATCAATCTTTACACTTTCTATGGTTTATACCATAAAAAAGTAAACTAAAGAATTGTTAAAACGTCCCAAGCATAACATAACATAACATAAATGATGGCACAACTTAGGGATGACATTGCTGGGAGAATGTGGATGGGATATAAAAACTATGGACGAAATAACAAGAAAAGGTATGAAAATATTTAACTTAAATAAGCGTATAGCCCATGCTCGAAATGAATGGCAAAAACAGACCCATTTAGCCAACCCCAAATGATTAGAACATAAGGCTTGGCTTGGTTTGATTTAGTTGGTTTATATGAAAACCATGGACAATTTCCTATTGTTCTTCCTCAAGCTAAAGTCAATTCAAATGCTGCGGATAACTTTATTGATGGTAACTAATGAGTAATTATACTAACTTGGTTTGTGTGTCATCTAACTTGTGTCCACCGAGTTTCATGTCATGCAAATGAGGAATCCAATATCATTAGTTTTCAATAGGTTGTTGCTGTTAGTATGAGTACTCTACACAGGCCCCCATACTCGTATAGTCCTGACACACAAATTATTAAGTGCAAAACACAACCTAGAAGCTTTTACCAAAACACACCACAAAAACAATTTTGTCACGTCGAAAAAGTTCTAATTTTACTAAAGCTGCCCTCCATCAGGGAGGCTTGGTATTGGTTTTGAAGAGGGTTCCTCTGCTAAAACCCATAAGCTCATGGTCAAGCCAAAAATTAACTGTTCACCTACTACGCTAAATACAGACAGGATACATCAGTGAGGCTTGGAAGTTACCATTCTCATGCTTTACATTTTGGGGGGCAGGGGTGCTGGTGTATAAGGAACGTAACAGAAACTCTCGAGGGTGTGGAAACGCAGCTTTCAAGCTAAAAAATAGACATTGATGGTTCAATACTCTAAAAGTAAGAGAAAAAAGAAGGGAAAAAAGAAAAGAAAAAAAAAGGAGTAGAAGTGGCATATTCAGGCATCTGGTGAAAATATAAATATTACAGCTTGATAAAAAATATCAAATACAAATCTCAGATTCCCAGAGCCAGATTACCATGATCAAAATCAAATACCACTTAAAAACAAGACCAACTGAGAAACAAACCACAGGCCAAAGAAAACATATCTAACGTCTATGAATCCACTTTTTTACAATTGACAGCTCTTTATTAAGCAATAAACCACTGTGTCTCCCAGCTCTCAGCTCATGGATAGGCTTTAAAGGTTCACAGCTGGAGCCAAGAAAAATTACACCTTCAACATATCCAATCTCATGCCTTTGAGCCACTTTCCATCATTTATCAGCCCTTTATCGAACATAATGAATACAGCAACCATGTGATAAATGACTTTCTTTATCTGCCTATAGTTCGGGTAAAGTAAACATAAGCAAGTAATATTTGATTCAAAAAGATAAAAACTCGTATGTTTCAGAATGCACAGTAAGTGTAGTTTAGATTTTGCCATAATATACGTGGTCTTAGTCTCCAAGCTTCATAGTACTAGCAAAATGCTTTCCATTAGTCCTCACCAGCATTGCACTTTTATGGAATACTAAAACTTATTGAAATGCTCGATGGGACCCATGTTACATATTCTTGAAAAGAGACTTGTAAAAGAATACAAATTATTTAGTGCGAGCTTGTGGATCAGGAATTAGAAATAATCACCTTGAATACAGAAGCCCAATAGTAATCATACCGACATCTAAGTTTCTTTCTTTCAGAAGGGTAAAACACGTGCTTGGCTTTATAATTCAGTAATCCAAGTTCACAGACCTTAGATGACCTAAGATCCACACCTGCAAAGAAGATAATAACAATCACATTACGATCAGCCCATGAACATATTATCTACCAAAACGAATAAACACTACCCAATCAAGAAGTGAAAGTAGCATCTGGCATCCGGTAAACAGCATTGAAGTGTTAACTTGCACGAATTGCATTTCTTTTATGTTCCTTTATGCTCATAAACCAAAAAAACCTCCCTTTAATCAAGCTAGCTATTGGTAAAAGCCTCAACCAAGTATACAGAATTCTAATTTGCTTTTCTTTTCTTGTATTTTCTGGGCAAACAAACAGACCCAGCACTCGATTCTATCAAATGAGTAAAAAAGAATAAGAGAGAGCTTGAGCTTACTACTGGATACGATCTTGCACTGGGATGGAACAGAAATCGGGCTCGAAATCGATAGGTCCCCGACGAAAACTGCGACCACCACCAGCGTAAATGTTAATGACATGGGAAAGAATAGAAGCGCAAATGAACAACTCAACAATAGGCCATGGGGTTTGATTTTCCTCCCGGTCTCCGATGAATGATCCATGTTAATTATAGTAAATTAGTGGATGGTATGGGGGGCAATTGTTGGGGATGTTTCCGGGCGCCGGAAATCTCATCCGGTGATCGGAGTTTGAGGAACGGATGATTAGGGTTTGAAGTTTGTGTGCGTTGGATGGATTGTTGACTGAAGGAAGATGGGACCAGAGACAATGTGAGCTTCATATTAATGGTCAAACTTCAAAAATGGTGTTCACCCAAAATAAATTTCACCTTATCCCGACTGCTCTTTCTTTCATTTTTCCCTCCAAATTTTTTTTTTTTTCCTCTTCTCTTTTTTCTACTTCTTTCTCTCCAAAACCTTTTTTCCCCCTCAATTTTTCCTTCCCTCCTTTTTTTTTTCTACCAATTTAACTCTTCCCTCCCAATTTTAGCCAATATTTCTTATAAATAACCTATATAATTCACACAAATTTTCAACATTCTCAATGAAAATGAATGCTTTCAAATTTCTTCCCTCACTTTTTTTTTCATTTGATGACGAAAAAATAATTTCAATTATGCCTCTTTGTGAGACAAATAATATCATAATGATAGAAATCCTAAAGAAATAGTATAAAAACCAAACCAACGTAAGGTTCCCTTTTTGGCCGAAAATATATTCATTGTTAAAGACAAAAGGGTCATGTTCATGATCTTGAAAAAATCTCGAAAATTTGTCACATCAATTTTTGAACTTATTTCCCTCACTTTTTTATTCAAAAAAAAAAAAATTCCCTCACATTTGACGTGGTTATTTTCATCTTTTATATTATTTTTTGTAATTGATAATTGACATGCAGTCATGTTTTATCTCGAATTTATAAGATTTTGGGTTAATTCTCAACTTGCATCTCAAAATATTTTAGCATCTTTTAGGGTGCAAAGTGCAATTAAGCCTAAACGTTTATAATCTTTTTTATTAAGTGTGATTGAAATTAGGTAGCGATTAAATCTGAAAATGATTTGATTCTGAGATGAAATTGATTCATATCCTCTTTCAAATTTTTTCTATGGTTTGTTGTGCATGCTATGCTGACCCGGAGTATGTATGACCTCAAAAACACGTGATTATCAATTTAGATGTGACATTAAGTTTCCGGTGCCTCGAATATACAAGAGCCAAAATAATAAAATGGAGTATGTGTTTGTTGGGATAGGAAGAAAGCTAAATATATATGCTTTCCTAACTAAAATTTAGCTTACGGAAAGACTTTTTTTTTTAGTTTACCGGTCAGTAGTGATCGGGATAATTTACACCTATTTTAATTAATTTTTTCTAAGATTTAGTCAAAGATAAATTATTTATACCAAAATTAAGGTATTAATAAGAAATAAATCTCTTATTGATAACTCAAAATGTCTAGATTTATCATTCATTTATGTTACCACTTGAACTATCTCTACTTTCTAACTTTCATTTTTTTCCTCTTGAAACTAGAATAATTAATGCAAAAGTAATTTCACTATTCACTAATCACTAATGGTGGTCTTGTAAACCCAAGTTCTTAGAGCATCTCTAACAACATTTTAGCTATTTAAAAGTATACTTTTTTTTTAATTTTTTCACTACATATTCCAATTTTTTTTTATATTTTAACTATTTCTTTTAAATATTACTTCTTATATTTTGTATTTTTGTTGGAACTATTGCAGAGAGAGAGAAAAAAACAGAGAAAAAGACAGAGTAAACAAGAGAGGTGAAAAATGACCAGAAGAAAGAAAATATATTATAAACTATTTATATATGATGCTACAGTAATGCTCTCTAAATTTTATTTTACCTACTTTGAACATCTTTCCTTGGAACATAGTTTTTATCTTTATATAGTTAAATTTTTAATTATTTTGGAGTTTTAGTCGTTTTGATTAATTTCATAAAAGACAATTAAACAACAGTGCGTACCTTTTGTTTTTTTTTTTTTTTGATAATTAGACAAAAAGGAGGGGACAAAAAAAGAGCGCCTAAAAATCACTCCTAATAAGCTCTCACTAGTAGGATAATGAGGTTTTTGACTGCGTCCGTTGTTCCTCTCTAAAACAAACGTAGATAGTTAGACAAGTATAGCAGTGAACCACCAAATTTCAACGTGGATAAACCTCCAACTTGGGAGAGAAAATTTCGATTAGTATCTATAAGAGGCAAAAAATTGAGATTACCTCCTATTGGAATTGAAATGGCTATGGGATTTTGAACTTGATCTCCCAATCTTCCTCTTCCTGCAAAACCAACACACCTTCGATCGAAAGCACTCTGATGCTTAAGTCAGTAAGGATTATGAAACGAATGGAAGAAGACAAGGAGGGTTCAGCGTACCTTTCACCTTAGTCTCTTCTGTTTTTTATAGATCGTTCACCCCTTAGGGTTTCCATGAATTTAGGTTCAAAGTGACACACCTTCCTACAATTCAGTCATTCAGTTTGGGAAGTTGCTGATATTTTTCCATTATTTTCTCTTAATGTCTCTAATTTCTCTTATTCGCTTATCTGATCGTCTAAATTATAGGCGTACCTTTATCTTTCTGTTTATCTAAAACGACTTGGACATATTAGACGCCGAGCACATTTGATATTTGCCGAGCCGATTAAGGGACTTGGTTTGACAAAAATCGATCTCTTTAATTACCTTTCTGAATACTTTAACCAACTCGGCTTGGTACAAGTCGAGCTCTTTCATTGCTTAGTCGAACAGACTGATGAGTTCGAGCATGAAGAGAACTGATCTTTTTCAGCTATCGTCGATCCTCTAATTAGCTCGGCTTGGTTAGAAAACTCTAGTAGAGGATCCTTCATCACGTGCCTGATTTTATCAATATCACGTGAGCACATTTAATGCTATGTCACGTGTAATCATGAGATTTTACTCCTTCATTTGTCCCTAGAAAATGTCTGACAAACGTCTTTTGGCTATTAGCCATTTTCTTATCAATTCATCATTACTTGTACTTTGTAACATGCCTTTTCGTTTTGGCGACACATTCTGAGCATTTAAATGTTTGCCTTTTAAAATTCCTCTTTCTTTATAACCATCTTTCTTTGTATTTTTGCTTTTCTGCTACCAGACTCTCAGATTCTTGTTCCTTTCTTTCTGCGTTTTTCTTTCTCTGCATTTCATCTTTTTCATGGCTCCTCTTATCCTATCAGAAGTCCTTTCCTTCAAAGTCAAATACAATATTCTAGATGATGTCGAGGTTAAGGTTGCTGGGAGAGATGAACCACTGATTGGTACTAGGGAGAGAATCCTCATCCCCACTCGGGCTATTACTGAGAGTGAAATGCATTTTTCCCTCGATCCTCTTCTTTTTTGGGTCCTTTCTACCGCAAAACTCTATCCCCTCCAATGCTGCCTTAATTTCTTTAGGATAGTCATGGGGGTGTCTGCGTTAAACAAACTCTTAGGTCTGAGTCTTGGTGTATGGGATATCCTGTACTGCTACATCATCAAAGCTACTAGAGACAACTACTATCTTTCGGTGAGGAAAAAGGATCGCTATCTGGTTACCCATCTTCCAGATTCGAACAAAGGTCATGAAAATGACATTGTGTTTGTTTCTGGAAATTGGGAGTATCCTGCTGGAGCCTCACCTTCTTATCGCTGCCCCTATAAAGAAGGCGCTCCAGGTATTTGAACCTTCTTTTTCCTCAAAAACACTTGTTGTTCTCTCTTTTCTTGTATCTGATATATCGGTTGTGTAGGAGAGATGGTGAAAGGCAAGATCCTTGAATCTTCTGTTAAGTTGGACCAGCTCCAGAAGTTTAGGATTTCAACGAGTCCCTGTTCTATCGTGCTACACATACGCTGCTCGGATACACACCAAACTACACGTCCTTTATTGCTATGCCGAACCGACCTAATGCAACGCTTGCAGCAGATCGGGAGGCAATACAATCTACTCGAGAGAAGACACCCCGAGGAAAAAAGAGACCTCTAGCAGCCTCTGGACTAAGGTCTGTAAAGAATTTTTTAGACTTTTTGTCAACAACTGAGCCGACTCTTCCCACCGAACCGACTCCACCTGCCTCAACTACTCCGATCTCTGTTCTTGATGAACCAACTGTCGAGGCCCTTCCCGAGGTGCTTCTTTCCAATGACGCTGGCCTGCCTTTGGATGACCAAGCAAATTTGGCTCGAGTTGCTGAAACTTATGTTCGTGTTGAAATGGATTCTCCAGAACGTATCCCCTTCCTTGCTCAAGAAGATGATTCCATTTTTGAGCTCGTCGAAGACCTGGCCCCTAAAAGGCGGAGGACTACCAAGTCTGAAGCGAGTTTTCCTGTCGAGCCTTCCAATCCTCTATTCTGACCAATCCTTAGAGGGAAATCACTGTCGAGGACTCTGCAATTAATGATTTTAATGTTGCAATAGGGATTGCCCGAGGAGTGATCTTGCCTAGGGATCTGACAATGAATAAAGCTCTCACTGATGATGAAGTGTCTCGTCAGACAATCTAGCATATGATTTTGGTAAGTCTTGACTCTAACTTTGCTTAAGCTTTTTACCTTTGAAAATTTTCTAAGTCTTTTATTTCTTCACATCTTCAAAGGTTTGCAAAAAGTCTATGAGGTCAGAGCTCGGATTGCTCGGAAAGATAAGGCAAAAAAAGACATCATCCATGCTTGAGCTTCGACTCTAGCCAAGAAGGAGAGTGTGGATGAGGAGTATGCCAAACTCTGTGAAGAAGTAAAGGTTCTGTAGGCTCAAAATCAAAACCTAACAGAAAAGAGAACTAGAAGCTTCAAGCAAAGGTCAAGGAGCTAAAGGAGTCCGAGCACGAAGTCAACGTGGAGCTCTCACAATCTCAACTCGAGTACTCCAACCTTCTTGAAGAATTTAAACAATTTAAGTCTAAGGCAATAGAGAAGGAGGATGTTGCATATAATGAAGGTATGGAAAAAGCGAAAAATGACTTGGCTCTACAAATTTCTCAGCTTCAGGAGGCATTCTTCAGCAAGGGCTGACAGGCTGCCTTGACTGCTGCCGAAGTTGCTCCTTCTTCTGAACTATTCTCAAAATATTTAGCTCCGAGCTCCTCTCATCCTTCTGCCCCTTTCGACACTTAGAAGATCTTTTTTTAACTTTATAATTTACCTGCAATTTTTGATGTTTATAAGTTCTTGTACCTTTTTTATGCTTAAATGAAGATCGACTTTTATCGTTTCTCTTTCACTTCTTAGAACGTTTGAGCAAAAACTGG